ATATCCGCGAAAAATTATGAATTTTTGTAGTTTTTTTTCTCATTCAGGCTTGCATGGCGGTTGGCTTAAGATTTGAGGCTTTCCTTTGTCTCTACAGCTTCTGTGAATATTGTAGTTACGGCCGCCAGGCTCTCTACAACAACAACATAGGAAACTCCTGCCAGCGTCTCACTTTTCATTGCGGACATTCAGTTTTCCATTACCACAGGTGCCCAGATTTTTCCAATTATCTACTTTTAGAGATACTTCTGTTAAAATGCTTTAACTCATCACGATCGATATGCTGAATCCCTTTAAGGAAGGCAAAAATGGAGCGGATATTGTTTATCTGTCATTCCGGTTTTTAAACCAGATCAGGAGCGCACAGCTCAGGCATCTCGTCTTTAATTGCATGTCACGGAATGAAGCGCTCTCAGAGCAACCTACCTTTCTAAAAAAAAATTAAAAAGTTGCTAATTACTTGGCAGACGCTCTTGTAATCAGACAAGCAGCATTACATTTTTTCGCTCTAGCTATGCAGTAAAGACGTCGCAGCCCCCTTATTTTGGAGTTAAACTACCGTCTGTGTAGAATTGAGAGATGTATTTGATCCAAGAAATTACCCTAACTACTATTCTCTCTCTGTGGTATTAATGTGTTATACCTCCCAGTTAAAATAAGTCTTGATTAACAAGTTATTTTTTATAACTGGTAGGCAAATATTATCTGTTATAGTAGTGTATCCTTTCCATGATACTTTCCAGCACGGTGCGACCCTGCAAATTAACGCTACAAAGAGTTTACCTGTTTTACGTTTCACATTAAATCGAATAATGCATTTTTAACAAAATTTAAAACTTTTAATCGTTACTTATGTACATAGGCAACAAAATATAAACCAACATACGCATTTTTTTCGCAAAACTAAGAGAAATTTAAAATTCACGAAATATGTGTAAAGTGACCGCAAGCTAATTTAGATTAGTTAAATTGTAGCTAAAACTGTTGCGCGGTTTGTGGGCAACAAAATAGTGTTACGCATGCCTTGTAGGAAATAATTGTCACTATTGTTTTTTCAGGTAATAACACCACTATTCGATAGTCATTTATACTAGTGGAAAGACCTATAATCCTAGGCTATTTGTTTGTCACTTATACCCTCAAGCAGGGTGTTCGATGACTCGACTTGTTTCTACAACCGGTTTTCGAGTTATTCGAAAAACGGCAATTTGAAAAAAACGGAAATTTGCTTTTAATTTTTCCCGTTTAAATAACGCTTACAGTTAGTTAGAAATGAAAGCCAAGCACTTAGGAAGTGACCTCGGACATAACATAGGGTATAAAAAAATGGAATTCGACAAGGGGGCGTAGCACCTGCCATATGCGGGACATTTTTAATCAGCTATAACTTTGAACCCGCATATCACATGACTTTGGAAATTGGTGTATTGAGGTGCATATTTAAGGTAGATGCTTTCAGTAAAGTAGATATAACTTTGTAAAAGGGGCGTGGACCATCCTATAGGTGTGAAATTGTTATCAGCCATAACTTCGGAATCATAAGTCATATTACTTTGAAATTTTTGTGTGAAGACAGATTCTATGATAAATACTTAAATTAAAGTATCCATATGTATAAATGAGTTTGTAAAAGGGGGCGTGGAATATCTTACAGGCGTAAAATTTTTGTTATAACTTTGGGACGCACATCACATGCTATTAACTTTGGCCAGCTGTTTTTACAAGTAATTAACTTTTCACCATGCATGGTGAGTTAACAAAAGCTTTTCGATTGCATTTTTTGTTGGGAATTCCACCGTTCAATGACAATGACAAAATCACGACAATGAAGCATGATCAATTGACACTTTATTGCAGATCATGATTGTTGAATTTTTCGTGCAAGTTATTTTCTTATGTGCACTTAAGAGATGTGTGTATATCCCGAAGCCACAAAACCGCAAGGCAAACCGTTCACAATTCAAATGTTGTTGTTTTGCGAGCAAATTAGATTGCCTGAAGCAATAATCCGCTATTTCGCAATTAATCGATTAATGCAGGGGGTGATTGACCATAGAACGCCGCAGAACCAACACATATCATAACCACATGCATACATGCAAATGTACGGATTTTTGCACTTCGTCATTGACAGCAACTGATACCTAAATACAAATTAATACTTAAATATAAACTTGTTTCCCAAATTAAGTCACATTCTACATCTCGCTTCCATTACTTTGCTTTAAATGTGAGTTAGATAGTTTGAAAGCCCCTTTCCTTTTTTAGGTTTTAGAATTTATCTGCCCTTTAAACACCCATTTTTTTCAGAAAAAAATCTGTTTGAAGGACAGATAAATTTTAAACTCGACATTAGAAAACGGCACTTAGTGTCTAGTTTAGCTTGATAGATACCCTGCATGCTCAGTCTTAAGACTCCTGAAAATTAGTTATTTGATAGGAAACATCCTCAGTTTCATATTTTTTAGTTTAACTTCGCTTTTAAGGCTACAATGTACTACTTTAAATATATAAAGTATGTAGGTACATTTACGGTATTGAGGTATTTACAAAACAAACGGAATATAGCGATGTGAAATCCAGGGTCCAAGAACAAAGGGTATGATCGAAACCAAATGTCGTTCTCGTAGTTTTGTTCCCAATAACGCTTCAAAACCAAAACCAAAATGAGAACGAAACTGTTGAGAGCTTTCTCAATGGGAATTATATAAGAACAAAACCCTGTGGAACGTTTACAAAGAGAACAAAATGCGAACAATACTTTTGGGAAAATTTCTAGAAGAACAAAATGGAAGCAAAAGTCTACGGAACGTTTTGGAAAAAAACAAACGGGAACAAATCTTCTCTGAACTATTCGAGCAGAATCGATGCAAGAATAAAATGTTTCACATAGCGTTCATAAGTTTGAAATGTTTCAATATTAAAATTATGCAAATTAGGTCAAGGGAAGACTTTAGACACGAACTTTGCAACAAAAAATAATTTAAAATTGTTCCATAAATTGACAAATCGCCCAGAAAATTTAATAGAGCTACAAGGCTTGAGGTTTTCATGAATTCAGCACTTTTCCGTCTCTTGCAACCTTTTCGCAGTTCCTTGTATCTTATAAGGTTGCAGCGGCCCAGTAAGCATTAATATCGGAGGGTGCCTACGGTATTACGCCAGTATTGTTCTCTGAGTTTCTTCCTCTCCTTCCTCAGCTCTTCATTGATTGTGCTAGTTCTGATCGTAAAGAAAGGCTGAGGCAATGCGGAATGATTTTCCGTCATCCTTTGTCAAATTTGGTTTGGAGACAAACCGGTTTTGGCGTTGTGCCATCTTCTTCATGTACCGTTCTATGTCCCATCAGGCAAGTGTTAGCGGATATGTACATTCATGAGGAAACAACAGCAATAAAAATTAGAAGAATTAGAAGGGCTGAGGCCATTACGAGACGATCCAGCCGCTGTTCTTTCTAGATGATCTGCTTCCTCGTTGCCCTCAATCCCTATGTGTTATGCTACCCAAATTAGCTGAATAACATTGTGTTCCGCTAGGATCTTAAGCCCATCAGTGCACTCACGTACGCAGAAGAATTTAGCCTCAAATGGTGGAGTTGCCTTGGGTTCAACCTGAATTTTACTCGATAATATAAGTCTCTTCATAAAGGAGTTACTCCAAGTTGCCTTGCTGCAAAGCTCTACCTGGAATTTTTTCTCAAACACTACTGATTTGAGCTTAATATATCTGGGTAAGAGTGGTACCATAGTTACCCGTATTTTTTGTTCTGCATTGTCGTACACCGCTGTGGCGTAGTGGTAAGCAGTGCGCGCTTCCCCACCGCAGGGCCTGGGTTCAAGCAGCAATGCAAAAATATATAGAAAAAGATGTTTTTTAACAGTGATCGCCCTTCGGTAGGCAATGGCAAACCTCCGAGTGTATTTTTGCCATGAAAAACAGCTTCTCATAAAAATACAATCGCCGTTCGGAGTCGGCGTAAAACTGTAGGTGTAAGCGCCAATCTTTCTATATATTTTCGTATATAGAACTAGGCCATTGATAGTTGTGGGGTAACCCAGGGCTGGTTGAAAATAATATTGAGTTATTCTTGGTTTTTATTCCCTTTCCCGTTATGATGACGGATGCATATGCAGCTGACTTTACCCCTTACCCCCCAATTTTCATTTGTAATTAAAGTTTCTTGGCCACTAATTTTCACATCAACCTGGAAAGAAGATCAGCTGTGATCTGGGAAGAAGGGTTCTTTTGACGTCCCAATCAATCCAGTAAATCTTTCTTTGTTGGATCCTTGTCTGTAGGACTCTTAATATGTTGTAAGACATACATACATATATAAGTATGTACTAACCTTTATCATTTTTATCCTGGCTGCCTCACTGGGCCCCTATTACATGTTTCAGTGCGCTGTTCCTTATTCATCCTAACCCACTGTCTAGGTGCCGTCTCAGCATTGTTCTTCATATGTATAGGTCATAGAAGGCGAAAAGTCTTAGCTCGTCGTTGTCCTCTTGAGCTATCAATAGTTTTTCTTAGAAGAATAGCAGTTACTATAGTCTTCCTTACAAACGTAGAATTCCGCGTTCTCGAGAAATTATAAGGCTCCTGGACTTAGTTGAAAATTTATTAATTTTAGGTATTTTTTCAAACACATAGCCAACCTGTTCTACGTCGAAGACTCACGCATACTAAAAATACCGAAATTCTTCTTTTCACTTCTTTTACTTCTCCCTTACAGCACAAAAAATATGAACTGACTACACGCTTTTATGATAGTAATTAAATTTGTAGCAAGTAGTTAGTTTTAAGGTTTTCTCCCCCGCCTTGTAGGCTCAACTACTGTACTTTCCCCCCACCTCGCTATCCACCCAAGTATAACTTCTTGAACAACACTTTAATGTGTTTAGTCACTTTGCCACCCCCAATCGATCGTAATATCTTTAATTACTTTCCAACTCCAATACTTGCATTGCAACATTGACTTACTTCCATTATGTTTGCAGGACTATGTGACCGTCTACGATGGCTATACCACACGTGACCCAATTGTATTGAAATTTTGTGGCGGCGGACAAGCAGTACCGTCAGCAGTTTCTAGTGGACCAGAGTTGCTGGTGGAATTTACTACATCGCCTTTTGGCACATTTACGGGTACATCTTCGCAAGTGCTGCCACTGTACGGCTTTCAATTGGATGTAAGCCTCTTTGATGCTTAAAAATAAACCCAAACCCACTCAACCACTGATGTTTTTGTCTTGCAGGTCGAGGTGATTTTCGTCGACATAATGAGCCCGACCTATTCGAAAAATAAAAAGCCTTGCGAATTTTGGATACGCGGCGCTGGTCGGGGAATACTTGAGAACCCTAAACATTCGTTAGCGCCTAACACCACCTGTCTTTATCACCTACAAGGCATGGGTGTCTTCAAGACCTTCGATCACTTGAGCTTGTCACGTCGCACCAGCGCTCAGGGTATGAGTCAGCCACTTTCACGTTTTAAAGTGTGGATCTCAATGATGAAATTCAATTTGGATCCCGAATTTGGGCAAATCGATGAGACCTCTGTGGGCGCGATTGGTGTACTACAAACGCATGAGGATTGTACTGGCATGCTACGTATCTGGGATGGTGCATTGAGGGAGCCACCCGCATGTAAGGATCTCAATTGGTAAGTTCACTTACAGCTTGTGTTTGGCAAAATGTTTATGTATTCTTTTCTAGCGCAAGCGACACGCCCTCCCATCCGGTGCTCACGCATTACACGCAGAATTCCACCAATGTTATTGCACGTTTCTGCCGTGGTACCATACCGCGCACCTGCGATCGTTCCAACATCAACGAAACCTACGCGCGACCTTGTACGATATCTGAAAGTTATGTGTCGAGCAGCGACAGCATTACGTTGGAGCTTAAGAACACTGAGTCAACTGTGCTGCGGTGTGTAGAAATGGAAAATGTTACTTTCGATGCGTTACATCACTCAATTTTTTTCACTTTCAGTCCGCTGGAGTTTAAACTGAAGTACGAGTTCATCGACTTGCATCAGGACGGTCTACCGCTGGCTGGTGGCGAGAACGACTGTAGTCGCAAATTTGTCAGTAGTCTTATGGATCGCAAGGATCCAGCCATCTTTCGTAGTGTGCGCAATATATTTCTATTCGGGCGTGGTGGTACGCGTTACTTGAAATGTATATACAAATTCGAAGGCCAGCGGGGCGAACGTATACGTATCAAGTTGCGTAAGGTGACTACGTTGAATCGGCCATGCATGTCACGCGTAGACGAGGACATAAATCGTTCATTTTGTTACGGTGACACAAATGCGCGTATTGAGGTGAGTTTTTTTGTATTATACACTTTGTGCAATAATTAGTTAGAATGGGTTAAGAGTTCAGGAGTTCTCAAAAAATTCGACAACAGACCGCAGCAGCCAAATTTGGTACTGATTCCCGCATGCTCTTAAACCAGCTTGATCTCCAGTCATTCCTTCCAGAAATGGGGAGCCTCGGACATTGCCTGATAAGGTCAGCGATTGCATTCTTTTAATTAGAACTGTTTAAAAAAAAAAAAAGATTATAGAAAGGCTCTATAAGGTAAACGGTTGCATTTTTTTCTTTAATAATAGCTTAAACTAGGGATTATACATTATTGGAGGGGTTTAAAGGGCAAGTGAAGATATGGTTGGTCTTCACAAGCCGGACATGTGTTGGGTATATCTGGATCGAGATTGTATAAGGACTGATGGTTACTATTTTTACTACGGCATTCACGAGGCAAGAGTACAGGCACTTTGCACAACGTCCGGTCTAGTAATGTTGCTAAATAAGTGTGCATCTCGTCCTTTATTTCATAAAGATACAACCTACAGCAGCAATTATGCAGGCAACATCATAATGCATCCCGTTGATGTCCAATATCGGTGAAACGTCGGCGTTGGGGATCAATAAAACTTCCTCAGATGGATGAGGAAGCTTTGTAATAAAAGCACCCATTTCTCTCCAGAGTGCGTTGTTCTGTCAAGTCTGAAGCTTCTTTGACTGCGTCTTACTTAGCCCAAACAGCCGATGGCCAAACAGGCGCAGCGTAATTTAAACCCGGCTTTCCAATATCTTATTTGTTAACAACAACTTCTCTCTGCGTAATCCCTAGTATTGTCAGCGAGCGATTTGAGGATCTTGCTGCGGCGCTGTACTTTATTGTCAATTGCGATTGTGAAAACACTCGTCTTTTATAGAAGAGAGTTAGCGCAAGTCATCAATTCCATTGCCAGGCGCTAATATCGAGCATTCGTTAGCATAGCATATTGAAGTTTAACAGTAGTGGGAAACAAGAACTCGGTGGGACGCCTTCTTATTTTCTCTGAGTTTCGAGGTTTGATTTCACTCCAGGCAATTCTCCCTTTACTATTTTAGTTCCTATATTATAGAAGATGTCTCAATGTCATCTAGTGCCGTGGAATGACAAACAGCACTAAAAGCTTGGACAAGTCCAGCACAACAAGAGTAGTTTTTTAGAAGGGTCGGTTACGATTAATGCCTAACGGAGGTCCATATGCACGTGAAATGCGGGAGTAGTAAGGCCTCAAGTATCTTTACCACTGCGGAAGGGAGAGTTATGTTGCTGGTTTCCGGGGTATTAGTACTGCCTTTTCCATGTCCGAAATGGTCAGAGAAGCTAAAATAAGAGTCACACGTTATTTTCAGAGGTAGTGCAGTCTTCTGGTCCCTCGATGTTTGCCCTATCCAACGATTCCTTTTTCATCTGAAATAACAGCTGAGTAAATAGCTGGAATGTTAACATCTGCTGCGGTGCCTTCCGTTGTTATTTCTAAATTGTCTTCCTTATATCGCTTCTTCAACAAATGAGAACGTCCAACAAAAACCCTAGAGTTTCGAAGCAGCCATTCTTCTGACCTCCTACTTGTTCTTCTTTAAAACTGGCCAAAACGAACATCATTAATAGACATATTTTTGGTCTCGCGGTTTCTGGGATTGAATAATCTGAGTCAATGGGATTTCTTGGACCTACTTAGGCTATATTACGTTGTGTTATTTGAACTCCTTAGTACACTGCTTGTGAGTTGCTTCGAATCTTTCATGCTGGGACCAACTACTAGAAAACTTTTCTTGAAAAAATGTCACATATAACATATTTCCTCAAGTTGATACGCCTGGTATGTGCTCTCTTTGGCTCGCCATGGCAATTTGCGCATGAATGCTAGACCGGCATTCCAGTAACTGGCACGAACTTTTTGCTATAATGAGTTCATGCCAGTGACGGTTTACATTACGGCAGTAACTGGAATGCCTTACTGGACGAGGCATTACTTCTAGTTTTGTACTTCTAAAAAGAAATGTACATAAGTAGTTCTTTGCTCTCATTTCATTACTATAACTACTAACACTCCTGATTTTCTAGATCTTCGAACGACCCTACCACGATTCGATTTTACTGCCGCGCGGCTGCCTTTGCAATTCGTCGAACTCTTCGCATCTGCCTGTGGAATACACCTCTACAAGTCGTGATCTTGAAGTGCATTTTACCGCCATAAATATGACCACACTTGACGATCCGGACGCCATAAACTTCGAAGGCATGTTCGAATTCATCAAGGGACCAGCAAACTGCAAAGATGGACGACGAAAATTCGGCCCTAGTGGCACTATACAGATGACGTTCGGTGATGTGAGTATGAATTGCTTGGGGGTCTTTTTAATGGGGTACTTATTGATAGTATTTTTAATCTCCTGCCAATTATCATTCGCAGATGGAATGCCGCACACGACCCTGGTTAATTGAACCTTCGAATGGCAACAAATTTCTCTATGTGCGCCTTAAAGCCATATTCTTGCGTAAATACAATCCCAAAAAAGCAATGAATACCACCATAGTGGGCACAAGCTCATATCGGTGCGAAACTAAAGCTCGCGTCGTGCTAACAACTTCCGAGGGTAAGTAAGAGCTGGAGAAGGGAGTTACACGAAACTCAAGTAAACTTAGAGTACTTCCAACTTCCACAACAAGCTGTTTTTTTTTTCTTAATAAACTTATATTAAGGGTCTGTCTTTCTCATCTAGGTTTGACCATCACCGCTTGCCCGCTATCGCCCGACTCAAAAGCTTACGAGTTTGTAGAAATTTTCAGCTCTGGCTGGAATGAGCGTCCCATTTACTCGATTGCGAATCGTTCCAAAGCCATTAGCGTTGAGTATCTGCGTCCTGAGAATGGTGACTTTACATTCAATTGGATGGAATTGGTTCCTAGACCAGTACTGAGTATAGCAGGTAAGCAGATAACTAAGCTGCTTACTTCCGTTTTGTTCGAAAACTTATTTTCACATCAACCTTTTGCAGAAGACTGTCAGTACAAATGCTCCGAACTGGGAGCTTGCGTTAACGCTAGCGTTTGGTGCGACGGCATTGTACACTGCCCCTCCGGTGACGATGAGACCTTCCTACAATGTTCGGCCATCATGAAACTACCCACTGAGATATTGGCCACTTTGTGTCTCATCATTGTGTTGCTGTGTTGCGCCTTTGCCGCTTTCGCATACAAGTGAGTAGAGCTGCGTTTTGCACCATCCATTCCGAAGGACAAACGAAAAATCTCATTTAGGCGTTTTGCTTTCCATTGCAGAAAAATCAAGCGCAAGTTTCGCGGTTCATCAGTGCTGCAGACGCGCCTCAAATCGCTTAGTTCTATGGATACGGCCGTGTTGGATGAGAAGGAGGTGATTTGCTGACAAAGCGACAATTCTGTGCGATATGTCGAAATCGATCGTGTGACCACAGTCTGACCACTTTCGATGGAAATATACAAAATCGCGCAGAATTGTGCCCCGGAACGATTCAGCATAATACTAAGCCTAACAAGAATGCGTATATTCGTTTGAATGGGCGAAATCGAAAGGCAACAAAGCTACATACATAATTTAAAACTACATACATACTTAGTACGTGTACGACCGACCCGATTCACCTGTTTTTATGCATTTGAATTTTATTCAAAAATTTCGTATGTAAGTTTTTACCCGTATACTACTACTACTACTACTACAACTACATACTACATGTGTATGTGTGTAATACTACTATTGTGTCGTCTCTATGGAATGATCTTTGTAAAGTTTGAAAAAACAAAACACAAGAAGAACAAAACTATACTTTTTTACGACTAATTTTAAGCCACAAATTAAGGCATCGATCGAATCGCAGAAAACCCAAGCAAATCTTTTTTTTTACATTAAACAAATTTGGGTGTCTGTATGTTTGTACTATAGCCTAGTCTAGTTATGTAATGAGTGTTCTAAGTAAGCAAGTAGGAAAATCGTTACTGGACAAAGCTTTAGATTTCATTATAAAATCATTTCAGTTGCAAGTACTACATACGCATATTGTATTTACACATGAGGCATACGATCTCGAAACTCTGCTAACGCTGCTAGTTAATGAAACATGTATTTAGATCTCAACTCTTTTTGAATTTTGTGGGTGCATAAATGAAACTTATCTTCAGTCTTTGAAATGTCAAATTCGTTGTCTGATTTCCTTCTCGCACAAAACTTTAACTAATCTTAAGCTTTTGAAGGAAGCTTTTTCTTGGCGACTTTACCTGTCTTCCTTAAAACAAAACATTAACTAACCTTAAGCTTTTGAACAAAGCTTTTTCTTGGAAATAAGTACGTATTTCTTAAGGCAAAGCAAGTGGGAAGTTTTTCAGTTTTCTTTTTCGTTCTACAAAGCCCGCCTCCCTCTCATGACCAGTGATGTTCAGAGAGAGCTTTTACTCTATGCGCGCCCATACAAAATCTACAGAGAGCTTTAAAGAGTTCCGCCCGCGGGCGCTCGTGCAGGATAGCAAGGTATATTTGGCCTGAAGCGACCACTGCTACGACATGTAATTGGTGTTCTCACCAGGCACGGCCTGAGAGCAACCCACGCTATTAGAATGGGTATGCAGTCAAACGACTGCTGTCGTAGCTGCCATAATGTAGAGGAGATTTAAAGCGTTAGCTATCACATAGACGATCGTTCCTCAACTAATCTGTTGAACGTTTGGCTGAACTGGATTCAGCTTATATCTCCGACTTTGTGCGCTTCATCAGAGCTATAAATTGGTTTTACTTATAAGGTAAGAGTGGGATCGTAAGGAGCCTTTAATATGGCATCACAATGGGCTCATGGTTTCCTAAGTGAGTTCTATTCCTGTACTGCATAAGAACAACCAGGATAACCTTGCCTAAACCTAACATGGTCAAAGTTTGTAAAAATCCGCTAGTATTCCCGAGCCAGCTGCTTTTCTGTTAAGGAGCAATTTTATATATAGCATTTTTTTTTAGAGGAGGAAGCATCGAAAGCCTAACGCCGTCACTATGAAACTTTAACCCACTAAACCTCCTACCGTTGGGAGGCGGTTGGAGCACTAAAATCTACGTCTGTTACTGCTCATGCTATTCCACTCTTTGTCTTGGTTGGTGTTAAACTACCCACCCCTTTTGTCTTGTACCACTAAGAAGTTCATCTCTAAATCTAGTACTGTCCGGATGCAGTAGTTTAATGCTGGTTCTTCGCTATTATTTGAGCAGTTCCCCCTCTATATACCTCAACTTTTCAAGAAAACGGGCTTTCCCAGTGAACTTTTCTAGCTGTCATTACGGGTTGTGTCGGAGGTATTTTGCACTTGGGCAGCCATATGGGAGACATCTTTCCGCGCTGACTCGCTCTTTAGTATTAACCATATCAGGTTCTCTGGTGTTAAGTACGTACCTTATGGAGCTAAAACGGAGACACTTGAAAAATACGTGCTCTGCGTCTTCGGTGACTGCTGGTCAACATTGCTCGCAGCAAGGTTTTGGGGTAAGTCCAAAGAGGTGTAAGTATGCTTTAAAACAGCGCTGCCCCCTGATAATTTGAATCAGTTACTGCCTATTGAGTCAGGAGTCAATTTTTGGTATGAGCCGGATAAGTCCACCCGCTTTTTGTAGTGCTATCCCAGCGAGTCTGCCACTGTTCTCCGCTTTGTGCTTTCGCTGTGGTTTTAAGTGTTGTATGCAATGCGTGACGCTGATCCTAAGGTTGAAAATGATAATCCTTGCTTTTCAAGAACTGAATTTATTTTCCTTCAAATTTGATCCTCATCTTCAGCGACATTCAGAAGGAAGCATCTACAATTTCAATTTTATAGCAGTTTAAAAAGATGCACACCCCCCTTCATGCGTACATACTTACATACAGTGGCGGTCAAAAATGGATGAATGGTGTTTCGTTTTTAATATTTACAATGTTTTTCAAGCTAAAATTTTTCTGATTTTTTTTATAAAAATATGGTTCATGCTTTAACAAAAACAGTATAAATCTCACTTGCAAACTTTATATAGAACTTAGAAAAACTCCAAAATTTTTTATCTAAATTTCGAGCTTTTTAACCAGAATTTTTAGCATTTTTTGGGTATGCAGTTAACAGGCTTATAAAATTCTAGTAATATAAGTGCAAGTTTTGAGCGGCTAAAAAATTGCATTGATTTTTGATACTTCTTTTTTTGTTGACAGCTTTTTGCACTTTTTTCCATATAAACATGAAGAATATGCGCAAGACCGCGTAGTTTTCCTAAATTTCGCTATTTATATGGAAGAAAAAAACATAAAAGCCGTCAGCAAAAAAAAAAAATTTTTAAATCAATGCAATTTTTAGCCGCTCAAAACTTGCAGTTATTTTATAAGAATTTTATAACCTTGTTAACTGTATACCTAAAACATTTCTAAAAATTCTGGTCAAATAGCTCGAAATTTAGATAAAAATTTGTGGAATCTTTCTAAGTACTGTATAAAGTTTGAAAGTGTGATTTATATAGTTTTTGTTAAATCATGAACCATATTTTTATAAAAAATATCAAAAAATTTTAGCTTGAAAAACATTGTAAATATTAAAAACTAAACATCATTCATCCTTTTTTGACCGCAACTGTACATACATACATACATATGTAATTACTGAGCAGAGAAATGAAATGCATATAGATACAAATCATACCTTCATACATACATACATACATACATAGATAAAAATTAAGTAGTGATAAATAACCTCCGGAAGTTTGATGACCCATAATTTATACCCATTATGAGGATACAAACTTACTTACATACATACATAAATAAGTTTTTAGAAACTCATAATCAAATCCCAGCATTTATTATGCGACGCACAACAAAAACAATTATGTATTTAGAAATGTTAGTAATCAATGAAAATGAATAATACAAAAAATAAGAAGCAGTGAGAGAAAGAATACTTAATCAAATATGAATGCCACGGTGCTAACACAACTACAAAGAATGCATAAATATTAAAATAAAATTTAAAAAAATAAAAAATTTAAAAATAAAATTACCGTTATTATGCAGTTGGAAAAAAAGTGTTTTAAAGTCAGCATTCTTCAAGTACCAACTTCGAAGTTTTGCAATACAAAGTAAAATAAATAAAGTTATAGGCAATAAAAGTTTTTCGAAAGTTTGCGAACGCAAACCAACAGCAAAGTGGTTCATATAAAAAAGAAAATCATTCAACACGGTGGTATTTTAATTATTTGTATACGTACATACATACATACGTTTACAGTATTTTAAGTACATACATACATATGTATGATATGTATAACTTTGGCTGAATAGATAGATGTATTGTGTGTAATTTGACGAGACTGGACAAAATGCAAATTTAATTCAAACAATACTGCCACCTGCAGTTTTCCAGTTACGGTTAAGTGCAAATGAGTCTATGTAAAGTTGCATGTGTAGAAAGAGTGTATGCAGCCTATGAACAAGACTTTTAATTGTTGTATTAGTCGTTAAGTCATACGAATTGTAAAACTACTTACTTGAAATAAATATAAGGAATATTTTAGTTATTTTAATGTTATAGCTACGGTATGTTTTTTTTTTTCCAGTGAGAAATGCTTAGTATTTAAAACAAAAATTTGTATGCAATTAAATTTGAAATATTACTAACAGCCCACCCTGTGTCACGTGGGTCTATCTTACAATAGGCCTTACAAAAAAACTGTCACAATCGGACTATAAATAGGAACTTTTTCTTAATAACCCGAATTCAGCAGCACCTTGCGGATCCATTTTTGTCTCATTTCAACTCAGTCGTAATATAAATAAGGGTTTTGTGGAAATACCGACTTTAGCACCACCTAGCGGATACATATACGTATATATAGTATACATTTCGATTGCAACTGAATCGGAGGATGAATAGGGACTTTCCGAATATTGCTACTCTAGCGCCACCTAGCGGCTCCATTTCTCAGTCATATTTCGTTGTGAATCGGATTTTCTAAATATATTAACTTCAGCGCCACCTAGCGGATTAAAATATAACCTCGGCACATGCGAAATTCTTTTTAGATCCGTTCATTAGTTTTTAAGTTATGGCCTTTCATGCGTAATAATAATAACAATAATAATAAGGGTCCCACATGACTTGCGTTTCGTCCGATTGCAGCGTGGCTCTGTAGGCGACATCTTTTTTCTCGAAGTCTAGTTTTTCTTTCGAGCTCGCTGAAATCCGACTACTTTTTCGGCGTGCGTACCAAAACGCAACCCGCAAATATTGGGTTATCCCGTTATTTGGTACCAAACGACTCAGAGAAGTATTTTCCAATTCGAGCTGGTGGTATTACTCAACGTCACTTTACACAGCCGCATCAGCTTCGAGAGGATGCCAAATTCCGACATCGCGGCGTTTAGGCAACTCCTTTTAGTGCTAAGCTCCAGCAGCTTTGCTGTTTTTAGCCGCGTAATCGCAATTCGGGACTCGTCATAGTCAGGCGGTGAATCGTCGACTCGATCATTATCGACTGGGGGCTCGGCCTCGTCTTCTTCACTTTTTTCAGTGCTGTTGCATTCCTTCCAGAATTTAAGTACCTTCTGGACATCGGTTTCTTGGTCGCCTGGTTTTGATACCTTCCGTAAGGCGCCTAACTCTATGATAAAATTGTTGGTTTTTCCTGCGGCCAGCATTTCAATGCCTTCGCACTCACGTATTACGGTCTCTCTCTCATTGCGGCAAATACATCCCGCTTCCCTCTTCAGTTCCCTATAAAGGTCCCACATGGCTCGCGTTGCGCCCGATCGCAGCGTGGCTCTGTAGGCACATCTTTTTTCTCTACAGCTCCTCAGCGTACCAGTTATTCTTTCGGGCTCGCTGAAATCCGAATACTTCTTCGGCGACATTACTTAATGAGCGGGAAATGTAGTTCCACTGCTTGCGTATGTCGGTTTGTTGAAGAGTGATCTCTGAGAGCAGGTGTGAGAGTCGAGTAGCGAATGCATTTGCCTTCTGTTTGATTGTAGCTTTTCTACGTTGAGCTTCCCTTGTATTGTTAGGCCCGCATTCTTTGTTGCACAAAGGCGGGTGCGTATCTAGGCTGCAAAAATAAAATGGTCAGAGTCGATGTCTGGCCCTCGGAGTGTACGTACGTCTAAAACACTGGAAGCATGCATTCCGTCTATAGCAACATGGTCGATTTGGTTTCTCGTTTTTCGACCTGGAAACAGCAAAGTAGCTTGATGGGTCTTTCTATGCATGTACCTAGTACTGCATGCTACCATGTTTTAGGCCCCAGCGAAGTTGATCAGACTCACTCCGTTATCGGACGTTTCGTTTTGGAGGCTGAATTTTCCGACGGTTGGGCCAAATATGTCATCCTTGCCCACCCTGACATCGAAATTGCCATGCACGATTTTAATATCGTTACGGGGCCAGCGCTCGCATGTGTCTTCCTCCAAGTGCTCATAAAAGAGATCGTTGGATGTTACGTCCATCTCTTCCGTCCGACAACCACAAATCCAACACCAAACTTGCGCTCCTTTACATTGCAGCTGTAGTAGACGTCGCAAGGCCCCAAGCACTTCTTGCCTTGCCCCGTCCAATGCGTCTTTTGGATGGCGGTGATGTTAGCTTTTCTCCTTACGAGGGCATCAACCAGCCGGGCGGAGATACCTTTCCCATTAAGGGTCCGGATATTCCAGATGCATGCTATCAAATCGTTGTCTATTAAACATTTGCTGTGGTCGTCATCAAAAGGGAAGTCGCTCCTGAGGCTTTATTTTTGTAATTCACTGGAAGTTTTTTAACTGGTGACTTCCAAAGACAGCGCACAACCCATTGCTGGGAGGGGTGTTTTCTTAACCGAGTACATGTTTATATATAGCGAGCCGCTGGCCCCAAGACAGACGCCCGCTTGTAGCCGCACCTACTGTTGAGCAGACTCTGCAGACTTCAGTAAGCTCTCAAACCGAATAAGTCGCAGTGGCCCCACCGAAGTTCCATCTCTTTCTGTCATGACTCAAGGCTCCACTCGGATTGGTTGCCGCTTCTCCCACATGGGGGTTGCTCACGTTGTCCAGAGTGGAAGAACTATAATGCGAAAGTAGGGATTGAGTATAGCCATGCAACTGTAACTGCACCCCATTGCTTTCTTACGCATACATTAATAATCATGAATTTAGATCAATTATTTAAAATATAGTTAATGTAGTTTTATACAATCATACAGTTACTCAGCTCAACAGTCGCTTTGGATATTTTAACGCTGCCCAGAATCAAAAAGTAGCTAGACTGTTTAGTTTGTATTCCAAGAATTAAGTAAAGTTTACTAAATAGCTGGGCCTAGACATCTGCATAGCGCAACTTACGCCTATAAATATTATTATACTTCTGTATATTAAAAATATATCCGCATACTTTTGGAAAACTGGGTTGTTTGAGTTACTCCTCAATTAAATTATTTTAAGTCTTATAGTTTACATATTGTTATCATTTGAAACAAGTCTTGACATAGACCTAAACCAACGCCATCAAACAAACTCCACTTCCAATTAAAATAGAAGAAAAACGAGATTTAACACTGCCTAAGTAATGATAAAAATCCTAGTTTAAGTTGAATGTTTTATCGTCAACATAAAAAACATTGATTGTCATTGTTTTCCTATGCGAAACGATATGGGTGTTTATTTATAATTTTTAGCGGTTTGTGAAAGTGTTACGTTTTTTTATGTTTGAGCATTTGGAAATCTATATTTATTAAAATTAGATTTAAACGCATACATGCCGACATAAAAACCTACATAAAATGCATGCATACATATTTACGTGAAATTTTAAATCAAATACAAACATACGCAGACAATAAAATTACAAATTATATGCATACATACTTATTTATGTTAACTATGTAAACTATTCTGAGGGTAAGCAAAATAGATGGTAATGGATTGCGATTAATACTTAGTAATGAAATGCATAAGTAAAATATCTATTCTTAGCTCTATTTATGTATATTGAAAGTAAACTTAAAACATAGAAAGAAACACTTAAATTATTTTTCAACAAAACAAGTGCATAAATACATACCATTAAAATTTGTAGGCATTGAAAAGAAAAAGTTGTATTAAGTTGCAGATATGCATACATTTTTGTGAGTTGCACAGACTTTTGCTGCTCAAATTATATTGTAATTCATTGTCAGTGTATATAACATATTCATTTTAGTGATTCAACAGAATGTAGAGGATTTTAGGTTTTGAAACAAAAAACATAGAGTTGTTTATTGAAAATATAAATACACAATTAAACTCACAAGGCATTGGATTGCAATTAAAAATATACAAAATTAAAAAACATGTTTTAAATAACAAAAGCGTTCGAATTGAAATTGATGAGGTGCGCGTAATTAAAAACGCAGCCGGCAAAAGTTTAAATGGTTTAGAGATAATTCATTGTAAAGAAAAGATAAAACTAGTGAATTTAAACGAAAAAAATTAAATTTGAATATTTAAACTAACAGTTCATTAAAAAACTAATACACTAAAGATACATCAGTAAAAATTCAAAAAGGAAACTAATGAAATTCATAATTAAACAAAAGAAAATTTAGCGCGATTTTTTTTCAGTCTTAGTGCAGTAAATTACTAAACTAAAAAGATATATAATTAATACTTACATAAATATTTAAAAAGTTGAAATCATATCATAAGAAATGAGAAATAAAGAAAATGAAAAATGTTTATAAAGAAACTTAAACTGTGTTGGTGTATGATTTAAAGTAAATCGCCTTCTAGTTATTTAGATATGTAGGAAACTGCGTATCCTCCGAAGGTGCCGGTATTGTAACACCACCCGTATCCACTGCAGGCTCATGCGGCAGTGAATCAATGCTTTCAATGGGCAAAAAGCAGTCGGCGGACATCTGCATAAGATAAAATGAAAAAATATGATAGAAATAAAGGAACTACATACTTATATTATGTACTTCACAAAGCAAACCTCATTTTTATCACGTAGCTTATGCGGATTTTTGGAGCCACCGGAACGCGTTGCATCCATTGAATCTACAAAAAAATAAATAAAAATGTAAAAAGGATAAGCATCTTAAAAATGATAATTGAACAGAATATTGGCTACAGTGAAGGTACTAAATTTAATATCTAACAGTGACTCACCTTCATGATTGACGATAAGTCCCTTACGATGGTCACGCTTGTGCGCTTCCAGCCGCTCTGCACTGATCGTAACATAATTACACAAATCACAAGCAATATTTCTATATTCCTCCACATGATTTAAACGCATATGCCTTTTATAAGCGCTTGTTTGTATGCAGGAAAAGTCACAGAGCGCGCATTTCAATTTTTCCGCCTGAACAAATGGTTGCTATATTTTCTAATACACTGTTATTTGCAACAAAAAATCGCTCACCTTCTCATGCCGCAGCTGATGCCTATGCAATACACTAGGGTCCCGGGTAGAAAACTTGCACGTTTTGCAATGCAATGGCTTTTCGCCCGTATGTTGACGCATGTGTATCTAAAATGGTAAGAATCTGGTTAACTATGTATGTGAAAATAAAAGTGTATATCCATTGGCAACCTACAATCAAGCTAGCCTTACGCGCCATTTTCTTGCCGCATACATTGCAAATGAAGGGTTTGATTTTATTGTGTACCGCTTTGACATGTTTCGATAGCGTTTTACCATTCACGAATTTTCGACTACATATTTCACAGGTCTTTTCAGCATAGTACCTATTCTTATTTATCGGTGCTGCTTGAGCTCTAGTTTCGTCGGGTTTTGGTGTATCTTGTTGCAGGCGTTTACGCTGAACTGCACGCAGTGAACGGAGAACGCGAGTTCGCCATTTTTTATGCACCCGCATGTGACGCCAGATAAGTACTGAAGAGGCATAAAATAAGAAATATACATTAGCTATAATAATGCCGTTTCTACCCACCTGAAGCATGCGCCTTATACTCGCATTGCGGACAGTGGAGTAAGTCCACATCCACTTGATGTGCCTTCCAGAGATGAGCGGTGCAACTACGCCACTTTGGCAGTTCAATGCCGCATTCAAAGCATTTGAACTCCTGCACTGCTGACACATTTATATGGCACTTAGTGTGTAAGGACAGCTTAGATTCATTTTCAAACTTGTAAGGACATGCATGCGTCACTGGACAACTGAAAATAAGGCCAAGAAATATCTCTGGTTTATCAGCAAATAACCTTTGTATTATGCGAACTATTTACCGCATGGTCATTTTGGAACGCAGCACAATGCGGAAATTTTTAAACGGCATTGGACGCAATTCAGGTTTGGGCAATAAAGGTTCTGTTGGTGTTAACTCTGGCGCTGGTAGGTTTTTGGAATCTTCTGTGGCAGCTGCATGAAAATCATCTGGATTTTGTAGTCCATATTTTTCATTTGATTTTAGCTTGGTTTCCGCTATCGGAATACATTTGTGATATTCAATCATATGTCCACGTAAATCCTCGATCAATGTATACTGACGAAAGCACATATTGCAGACATAAATTACTCGTGTTGTCTTACTGGAGGCTATTGAATCAGACCCAGGGGATTCCGGGCAAAAGTCAATCACATCCTCACTGTTCATTTGGAAAAATCCGTTCTGCTTTTTCTTTACTGAATTTTGTTTATTTTAATTTACACAGATTTACCCCGCGGGTAAATATTTACGAATGTCATGTGGAAGAGGCAAGCCAATGAAGTTAAAATAAAGGAATTGCTACAGTGGACAAAAGTGGGCATTTTCCATAATTCAATAAATCAATGAATCATGGGTCATTTCCACATCTAATAAAGGACAAATTAAATTTACGATATGTCCCTCAGAGTTTCAAGCACTATCAAAGAAGGTAAATTATAAAAAGGGACAGCTTGTTACCAAAGAAGATAAATCTAGATTTACGTTCTTTGGTATGTATAGATTTACGTTCTTTGTACACACTCCTGCATTCGAAATTCGAATATTGCAACTGTTATTTCAATTTAAAGGAGACAGGGGCTACTCGAATTAAAAAGAAATTATTTAACTACATACTTAAATAAAAATTCTAAAGGGGCAATTCTTTCTAATTTCCAACCCGAAATACTGAAAATATTACGCCCTGTTATTTTCTTTGTCACCCTGTGCTGTTTCAACGCCCTCAGTTTTTCTGTACGTCCGGTACTTATTCAGTCCAAACCGATTCCGCTGGTGTCTTTGGTCCCAAACCGGTTCATGCTAGTGCATAAATATCCCAAACCGTTTCGCATAGCAACAAAAAAGAATTAGCAAAGAGTTTGCAATTGACAAATAATGAATTTTTAGTCGAATCATTTGCCTGTAAACTTTACAAAAAATATAAATTTTTAATAACAAAGCGATGGCCACCGCATTGGAGAACTACGTTAACAATGTGCGGACAAAGAGTTCCGAAGGTGGGTGTCGATATAGAGCTCAAGACAGTTCCAGCTAAGCACCGTTCAACCAAGGCCGAGAACTAGACGCATGCCGGCAAATAACTTACCAACTCCAAAGTTCTTCACAATGGTTTGACAAAATGAGTTTAATATTTTCTTATAGGAAACTTTCGCATAATGGTGGAACAACTTAATGACTCTGTCGAGGTGCTTTCAAGGTATTTGGACTTACTAGATAACGTGCTGGAAACGTTGGATTTTCAGCAGCATTCGCTGGGCGTACTTTACGTGTTGCTAGTCAAATTCAATGGTGCTGCGGTTGGTTAAAATAGGGAAGCATTTAAAAATCTCGCAAATAATTAATTTAATATTTTTAGAATGCAAATGCAGATCTGCCACAACTGTTCAACCTTTACAAAGAATTTATAAGTCAATGCAACGGAGAGCAGGTCCGGTACGCTACGTATACATGTAAGTGTAAAGTAGTAATTTTAGCAAGCCTGCATACATTTGAAAATTACAATTATTTGTCTTGAATCTACAACAGATTATGATCTATGCCACATGTTTACAAACCTCATCGTTGATCACCCGTACTGCATTCAGGGCATCAAAGTAGTAGCACAAGCCATCGAAAAAATTCGTCTCTGCGACTCTCAACAAACCAGCATTCACTCCGATCTCTGTCAGCTGAGTTTAAAATCTAAGTGTTTCAAAACAGCGTTAAGCTTTCTGGATGTAGACATTACCACCATATCAACTGCATCGGAGATACGAGGGCAAAACTCAACTGTATGTAAAAATCTGTGTGTTTGATTTTTAATAATTACCGCAGTGTTGCGCATTATGATATACGACTTAGCATTAGTTTCGACTTATGTCTAAAAAAATTTTCCTCCTTGTGATAAGAAAAAGTTGTACGTAGTTTCTTTTGGTAACCTCTGAACATAAATATGTTTAAAAGATTTTTCTTCGGAGGTTTATAAGCTAATACTCTGTGACAAATTATCAGATTAAGAACCATTTCACAACACTGCAGTAAATGCCAATTCAAAATTGCCTATTTAAAAAACTGGAAATGTTTCGAAATTAGGGTCTCCAAATTTATAGCACCCGCGTTGATTTAATTTTATTATATTTTACAGGAAGCGAACAATGACGCCAAATATTTTCTACTCTACTACTATTATGGTGGCATGATATACACTGCCGTTAAAAACTTCGATCGCGCCTTGTACTTCTTTGAAGTGTGTATATCAACGCCCGCTGCAGCCATGTCTCACATAATGTTGGAGGCATATAAGAAATTTTTACTAGTTTCTCTCATTCTGCACGGAAAGGTTTTGCCGATACCAAAATATTCAGCACAAGTGATTTCGAGATTTATGAAACCGCTCGCTCAGGCTTATCACGACTTAGCAACCGCTTACGCAACCTCATCCAGTGATGAACTACGAATTGTTATGAATAAATCTAGTGATACCTTTACTCGAGATAAAAATATGGGTTTAGTTAAACAGGTATGCGTGCATTGATTTATGGCAAAGACTATAAATCTTTTGTTATTGTATAGTTTCTTTTTTTTTAACTGTTTTGTAAAGTATTTTAACTAAATTAATTTAATTTATAGGTTGTAACTTCGCTTTATAAGAAAAATATACAGCGGTTGACCAAAACATTTTTGACGCTCTCGCTTTCCGACGTTGCTAGTAGAGCTCAACTTGCAGATGCTGCCGAAGCGGAAAAATATATTTTTAATATGGTGAGATTTCATAAATTGATTTGAAATACTTTTCTAACCTTTTTTCAATTTCGCATAAAGATCAAATCAGGGGAAATTTATGCAACTATAAATAAAAAAGACGGAATGGTGGTGTTCAAAGATGATCCGGAAAAATATAACTCCCCTGAAATGTTCCTTAAAATCCAAGAGGATATGGCACAAACGATGGAATTAATAAGGCAAATAAATAAAATGGAAGAGGAGATTTTACTGAATCCCCTGGTGAGTAAATTAGAAAAAAAAAACACTATGAAAAGAAAACAGAAAGTTTTACTAAGTAAGGTAAAAGAATTATGAAGGAATGCCAAAAATATAACGCACATCCGCGTCATTGTCAGTATTAAATATTTCTTTTTATTTACAGTACGTTAAAAAAGCTTTGGGCAATCAGGAGGATGAACTTACGTCGCAGCATGCAAAATCATTTTCAGGGTAAATATTGAGACGTGTATATAATCACTGATAAATAAATACTAATATTTTCTTTTTGCTATTTTCAGAGATCCAACAGATTGATGATGCCACAGAAGTGAATGCACTCTAGCCGCGCTTTTGTCAAATGAAAAAAAAAAACTGTACGGAATCTGTTTCATCTGCTTCATGCTCAAATGCATTTCTTCTGTATTCAACAAAGAATTTGTCTGCAGCAAAACTTTGCCTATAAAGAATTATTAAAGAATTGTTTTTAAATTCATATTTTTTATTGCCATTGTTATTTGAAGGTAAAAACGTGGATAAGTGGCGATTGGCAAAAAAAATTTACCGATGATGAAATTTACGCAGATAGATAAATATGTCAATGAAAATTTGCGCTCTTTAGGTGATCTCTGAAAACTCAAGAAATATTTTTAAAATGGCTTCATTAGCTACGCATGAATTTTGAAATGAAGTTCTAGCGTTTAATGTAAGTTTTGAAGCTTACATTTGCTGATGATGTTGTTGTAAGCATAAAATTACTCGAACGAGTTTTGTGTAATGCTGCTGAAGTGATAGCGATCCGGTGGTAATACGCAGCCGCAACACAGCCAAAAAAAAATTAGCTAAAAATATCTTTCTCAGCACATCGCATGTTTAATAATATAGAGAGGTAATTCAAAATTTACGTTTTTTGGAGATTTCCTCATTCAATTAATAAGCATGATAAGGAAGATATGTTCAGCCTCACAGATGACTAAACTTCCCAAAAATGGCGAAGATATCGCACACCGTATTCAAAAGAGTCACAACGCAAAATTTGGCATTTTTGAGAATATGCCCGAAAAATGTACGCAGCGCTCTTATTTACCTTTCAGCAAAGGCCGGAGTTGTGACTCTTTTTAAGATGGTGTGCGATATGTGTCTTAGAACTGTATTTTGGTATACCACATGTATTAATTGAACAAACTTTGAATGCGTTTTCGCACAAAATTGAAATTTGAAATAATTCTGTATATTATTAAGCGTGCGACATGATTTGGTAACTATAACCAACAAATGTAACGATAACCAAATCATCTGTTGATGGAAAATATTTTTCGCAATTTTTTTCTGAGTGCAAAGTCATCAAATCGCTGCCAGCATTGATCGTGAGCAAAGACAAAGGAACCCTCTTGTAAGCGTATAAAGCGGTTGGCAGGCCGGTGCTTAATTGTGCTTTGCTACTAGTTCATGCTTTTCAGTTCATTTTTGTATTATATTTTTTTAAACTTGGTTCGTTTTTTTGGTAAAAGGTTTTAAGTCAATCAAAAGTATGCAAAAAAAGTAAAGCCTGCCTTAAATTTTGTTTTATTATTATATTAGCGCAAAAGCTTTTGTGTCAATATTGCACACCATGTTAACTTTCGAAATCGTCCAATGAAATATAAAAAATCCAAAAGTCAACTTTGGTGGCCCACTTTAGAAAACTTGACTCACGACTGACGTATCACGTAATTTTCTTTCGTATGGTTTTTGATCCGTGAACGGATGTTACGATTCGAGCCCTGGACTCGCGGATTTGCATTAGCGGAACGATCCAGATTTATTTCTGGCCAAATTCTGCTACTGCAACAGCATTTACTAATCTTTTCTTGGGAATATGTTTTGTTACACCAACTGTGTAAACACGAATATGAGTAGCTACAGCAATCCCACGACAGTCGGGTCCACGTAACCGGAACGACCCAGATTTATATTTGGCCAACCACTGCCACTCCAGCAACATTCCCCAAAAATTTTTTGGGGAGCTTGTATGCTGCTACAACAACAACAACAACCAAACAATAGTCAACGCGACATAGTTTCAATGTTTCTATTAAAACAACTACAGTACCCAGACCGTAACTTGGCCAGAGACGATCGAAGAGAATTTTTACACTTAGAAAATTTGTACAGAACTTAAAAAAACTTCACCCAAGGGAAATGTTTTAGGCGTTACTAATGCAAACTAACCCGTTGACGACACCTGATCGAAAGTAAACTGCCACCTCTCCATCCAGGCACATCAGAAGACATCTTTTTGAGTAT